TAGATCCAATCCTTTCTCGTTTTGGCACGGATAAGGGTCACGTGACGTTCCTGTGCCGTCTATATTTATTATATCACCATCACACGCATGCATAGTAACTTGCTGAATGGTTTTACATGGCGATGACGCATTGAGCCCGCAGTTATTTTTAAAGGTCCCATCGTATCTTGAGACAAACCACTGCTTGGCATGGATAGTTTCTATTAAATAAGAAAAATATAAATAAATAGAGATTATGGTTTAAACTTATTTTTTCAAGGATTTCCAGCCCAGAGAAAAGACGTAACTATACACGTCTAAAATAACGATGCCTTTTTTCTGTGTTTGATATCGCCAATCAACTGCAGACACGTCACTCGCCCTTTGTGCCACTTTGTCAGGTTGATGAATGAATGACAAAGTGTTCACCAAAAATGAAGTTAACTTTTCTTTTCAATAAAGGTCTATATTGGTTATATAACAAGATTCTGATTATTTTGACAAGAAGAGCGCTAACTAACGCGGAAGGTAACAACAGTAACTTTCCGACTACTGTCATGTTGTTCAACGTGACTGTCTTTGAAATGAAAATTAACAAACCCACGTCACGCAACGTCACGCAATTTCTTACAGATTAGCTGTCAACCCCCTCTTCTATTTATCACTTTCTATAATTACGACCATTATGTTGCTATTCTGACCGTTTTAAAAATCACGAGACTGCTTTGTGACACACGACAAGTTTCCTGGGGAAAGTCCCTCCACTTCCTGTTTCGTTAAAGCTGATGCAATCAACGATGGATGTCAACTTGGTCATAAAGTTACTCTCCTGCTCGTTAAAAAGGTTAGACCAACTCTCAACAAAGAGCCATGCTTCTCCAATTTTCACCCAACTTCAAAAATTATACTTATGCCGAATGGAAACATTCTCATTGAATTAGCTAATATTACTTGGATCCGTGTATCTTAGTGCTAAACGATTTTCAATCGCGTAGGAAAATGAAGCTCAAATTTTAACTTTGTTCTTCGTTTTCCTTTGCGCTGTAAACAAACCAAATTGGTTCCTCATTTATTCCCCGCTGGGAAGGAAACGGCATTCGAATTCACTTAATGCTCTTCGTTTTTCTCTTTCTGCAGCTCTAAAAAAACGGATTTCAATTTTCTTTTTTGTTTCATTTTCCTACGCAATTAAAAATCGGTTGGCACTAAGGTACACGGATTTACTCCAGGAGCTTGAACCCCACAAGTCGAAATCAATGTTTATTTGAGTCAACAACGGCGATCTGCCAAGACATGTATAGTGAAAAAAACCAACATCAGTGGAAACAAGGCCTCCTACGAGTCGTTCAACCAGCAGCTCTTGGTGTAGACAATTTAGCGAAACCTTATCGACGCTACTGGTTAGGGTATCTTTGCATCAATAAGTGGCTAAGTTTAAAGGCAATATGCTGAGTAGATATAACTGCAAATCATAACGAGATTTCACATACCTTCCAAACATATTCCACTCCAAAGAAAAATCCAATAAAACGTTGTTAGCTCCATTATGTGAGTCGGCAAGACATCGAGACAACGCCGATCAACTGTTCTTAACGGCTGCTTTTCGAAAACAAAATTCACGCGATATTCGAGATTGGGATTCCTCACTGGAATGTCACGAGACGTACAGGGTGAATAAATTATTGGTCACAATCCAAGAGGTGTTATTCGCTGCGGTTCTAAGAATAGCAGCAAATCATTGTTTTCACGGTTACGACTTTTTGACTGTTGACAAGGAGACGTGGGAATTAAATGGCGAGATCTAACCGGGTCAAGTCACTGACATCGCTGGCATTTGTGCTTTCTTTTCTTTACGTCTATTTCAATTTGATTGCAGGTGGTACCTCATATATTTACAGTTTGTATTTACAAACTTTAGTTCAACTTCTCTCCCTTGAGGTTCATGTTCAGTGTCTGGCTCTGTACTCGGAAGGTTTCAGGTTTCCTCCTCAGATAAAATGGGGCTTCTTCGTGACGGGCAGCAGGTACGCATTTGTAACTTACACCCGCCATCATAGAACTATACTTCAGAGTTTGTTGTCACCATAATAAGTTTTTTCTTGCTGCTGCCGGGGACTGATGCTTGCTTTACGCTGGGCCTCTATACAGTAGAGCAGTCATTTTTCCTATTTTACAATGAATGATTCACTGTCCCGATTGTCGACTATTTCAAAAATGGGAAATGGGAAAAACTAGCATTTTTAGTCGTGGATACGCGAAGCGCAGAAAGGATTATTGTTAGTGGTCAGAATATGCAAATTTGTCACGCACACAAATGAGAACAATTCGATATGTCAACGGCAAACCAATTAATATCGAGTTTCCCAAATAATACTGGAACGCGTCTGTCGACTTTCCGAAAGTAAATTCCACGATCATTGATCATTCTCTGTTATCCCTGAAACCATGTGATCCCAACTCAAATACCCCTCCATCCCCCTCCCCCTCATCATCCTAGCCCCTGTTCACAGGACCTGACATTTCATTGTTCCTTACATAACCATTAGTCGTTGAACGCCAGGTGGCTAAGCTCTATGTCCAAGTGAATTCATCTGAACTTATCGATCTTGCAACATCGCTTATTTAAGAACTTTCCCAAGTTAAGCATCTGTCGTTTGGTCCTCACCTGCACAGCGCTTGTTTACAAATTATACAAGACCTGCATCATTTTCACACAGAGGTGCGTCCTTTTTCTCTGTTCAAATTTGAAGTGAATTGCGACATATATATTTTTCTGTGTTGAATTTGAAATATATACATTTAGCCAAGCCTAAAAGCGGAGCTCGGATTTTTTTCCCGCACGTCTCAAGGGCACAACGCCTTGCCCCGGCCGTATCGTAGCAGACGTAAGGTTTCAAATTGGGGAATATCACTTGCAAAATAAAACCTGTGACCGCTACATGTTATTTATTGTTTTTACCTGAAAACGGTAGCTTACCTGTTTTGGTTTGAGCTTTTCCCCACAAAATGAAAACAAACAACGGGAATTCGAAAAATGCCGCCATTTTGTTGCAATAGTGTTACTATACGAATATTTCCATCCCCTTTCTTTTGCATGTGTAAATTTCTCGCACGTTAAAAGCAAGCGCACTCATTTTGCCGATGTATCTCTTTTACTAGCTTAGTCTATGAAACTCCTCTTCATGCTCAAACAAAGCGAGGAAGTGAAGGGAAAAGATATTTTCTGATAGTGAAAAGAGTGACTCATGCCAGTGGAATACGGGCAAACTGGTTTGTTTTTACCTTAGAGTAAAAAGGATCTTTACTTTTGTGATCTCTCTTTTCCCTGAGAGCAAACATTTTCGCCCACTACACTTGCACATGCCAATCAAATGAAAGCAAACGAATACTCACCTAAAATACTTCGATGTAAAACAACTCTCCCCACTTTGATTCCCATGCAAGTTTTTGTCGGACAAGTACAATATTGCGTCTTCCTCACTCAGCAATTTATTTTAAGCAAACGTAGTTTTGGAAATGTTCAAGTTGACCATAGAATTGCCATAAATTGTAACACTACTAGCACTGTTGTTCTGAAAGGTGCATCCATCGAGTTGAACATTTTTTTCACAGATTCAGTGGCGTATCTTGACGTAAGCGCGGCAACGGAACTGTTTATAAAGCTGCAGTCGTTGAGCTTTAAGGAGCAGTCAGAGAGATGAAGTGAAGTGTTGACGAAGGTTATTTGGTCCACAGAGACTCCACCAAAGGCTCTCTTTCTCGAATTACACAAAACTCGCAGGCCCTCAGTTTTGCAAGAAAGAAATGCTCGAGTGTTGTAACTGCGTATTGCCGGAGCGGCTAGATTCAATTCTGTCCAATTCTCGCACGGATAAGGGCCACGGGACGTTCTTGTGCCGTCTATATTGATAACATCACCATCAGATGCATGCGCAATCACTTGTTGAATTGTTTTACAGGGCAATGACGCTTTGAGCCCGCAATTGTTAGCAAAGTTCCCATCACGTCTTGAAACAAACCACTGCATTGCATGGACTCCTTCTAGTAAATAATACACCATAAATAAATAAATAAATAAATAAATGAGTAAAAAAATCATGAACAAATTAAGGATTTTGAGTGATCCGTTATTGCGACCAGTCAGAGTAGCTGCGAGCCACTAGACGCGGAAAACGACTGATGCAGGATGTAGTGCCGAGTTCCCTGATCAGACTTCATATTGTGAGGTTTTTGCCTATGGAAAGTCATTTTGTATCCGTACCTTGTACTCCTGGAAAAGCTACTATCTACTATCTTGGCGCAATGGATGTCATCGATTACCTTCCCTTTCAAAAGCATTCGCTTTTTTTTCTCATTTCGTGGAGACCATAACCATTTGTTGTGCAGTTAGCAGCATTAAAAAGTATCAATAACCAAAGCGCAGCGTTTGTCTTTCCTTCTCCTGTTTTTGGAAAAAGTGAATGCTTTATTCATTCCTGAGTACAGTTTACCGATTTGGTGTTTTCGGCAATCCAATGTTCAAATTCAGAATAAAGAAGTGCTGTACAGAGATCCCAAAAATACTGCAATGTCAGACGCCTTATCGGCCTCGAACAGTGTTTTTATCAGAGCGCATCAAATGCCCATCAGTAAAATTTGCTGCTCTATTATTATATATCAGCAGTCTGTTAAAGTTTTGACCAATTCTCAGCGATCAGTTGACCTCAATTGAGCCTTACGATGAAATTGAATATGCAAAATTGCTTAAGCGCTTGTCAGCGGAATTTTCATAGGAAGGACTGACGGAGTGATAGAAAGGAGAAAGGTGTGAATTTTGAGTCATGAAATGGAAATGGCTTTAAGCCATTTTACGAGTTAAAAACGAAACTATCAATTATAGAAAGAACATATTTAATTTTTACAGGTGAAGTTAGACCACGGATAAATGATCTGACCACAAAAATAAATTCAACGGATCGTTGCATATTTCCTTCAGTGAAACGGCGGATGTAGAAGAAAATTAAGACCAATTTGATACTGATGAAATACTGAACTTTACAGAGAGTGGAATATTAAACAATTCATATTGATCGTTCGGAAAACGCTAACTTAGTAAGCTTTTCATGCTTCAATGAAGAAAGGTAAAATGGTTTCCGTGTTTACAGAGAGTGGATTATTAAACAATTCATATTGATCGTTCGGAAAACGCTAACTTAATAAGCTTTTCATGCTTCAATGAAGAAAGGTAAAATGGTTTCCGTTCTCCCAACCTCCCAAGTGTTTACATTAGGCTATGTAAACACGGAAACCATTTTACATTTCTTTTATAAAATAACTAATGAAAGAGGAACGAAAACCGTGTTTACATGCGCTCATGTAAAATGGTTTTATGGCCAATCAGAGCGCGCATCCCGTTTGAATTATTTTATAACTAAATAATTACATTATTGGCCATGTTTATGATTTTGACTCTGATCGATACAAAACTCATGGCAAGTGTAATAACATGTCCTGTTCGTGATTGTTTAAAGAACACATTGCCGTCTTGTGACTCAAGACACATCACTTTCCCGGGGAAAATACCATTCGCCGAAACTAAGACTCTGTACCCACTCACCCTGCGACATGAAATTCTGCAGTCGTTTTATTATGCAGATCGATCAACGATTGTCTGTGTTATGCGGGAAAAATTTTTTGCGGATTGAGGATAAGCAAGAGAAACTAAAACCCGAAACATTTTTAAGTTTTTCGATATAATAGTTTGTCTTCAATCATTTAGCGAAACACTTTTGACAGAAATTGACAATTACGAATTACAGCGACATCGTGGTTAATTTATCCTACCGCCTTTACATATGGTAGATTTTAATCTGTGACACTGATGATACAAATGGAATTACATTAAAACTTTATTTACCTTCCAAGCATAGTCCACTCAGTAAAAATAGCAAAGAAACCCATCGTTTCTCCATTATGTGCAATCAAGTTGTCGATAATGGTTTGCATAAGAGAGTTGCTCTTGAGAAAAGTAGTAGGTGTTTTTACAGCTTGTCTTGTGGGTGTCACGGGACAGAGGGACACCAACTTGAGACAATGTTTATGAGGCAACCGAAAGACAGCGTAATTAATGGAAGAAGAATTTTTATATAGATTTAATAATCGAGAGAGAAATTTTACGGTGCAAGGGTCTGTGACAAAACTTACCACAACCCAGGATTGTATAATTTCACGCCAGTTAAGGCAAAATTTTTTTTTTTTTTACAGCCTTGAGTGACATTTTGATATGACTCCGAGGCATTCGAAGCTTCTAGTCTATTAGAATATGAAGCGGAGATGGAGGAAATCGGTTGCCAGCGAGGCCTCAATGGAATGGAGTCAAGAAATCCCTGACAATACTGAGAAAGAACTAATTCGGACTCTTACAAGCTTATTTAGAGCAGGGCACATGACCAAAAGGCCTAAGCTACCAGATAAGGGCGAACATCGCGATTATTGAAGATTATAAATCAGACCTAAGATCGATTAAAAAGAAAGCAGAGCATGACCTTATGGGAGCGCTTGTGAAATTTTACCACCGTGAGACGCGTTGAGAGACTTACAAAAAAGCTCAGAAAACTGAAGCAAGGAAAAACTAAAAAGAAAAATGTTGTAGAACTATCAAAGAACGTAAGAATCATTGGCCATGGATTCAGTCCATTTCAAATTGAAACAAATTAATGTAAACAAACTAGCCTCGGAATCGAAAGCTAAACCGAACGAAGTCGACAAGCTTCTTGTAAATTTGAGATAACAAACAGGCAGTAGAGAAGTTTAATCTTGTACTTCCTCATTCTCTGTCTCTTCAGAAACGAACAACGAGGGCGAAACCTAACCCAAATAAGAAAAAGGAGCGGTTTAAAAATCGCAAAGGAAAACAGAGACAAAGGAAGAAGGATGCTGGCAACACACCAGGAACAAGTCAAATAAACAACAGGCAGATGAACAAATTCACGGCTGATAAATCTACATTAGAAATTACATTCTTGGACATAAAAGTTTGCAAAGGCGAGATATTAATAGGGAATCCGACCCTTGAAGTTCAAACACATCACAAAGACATTGGAACCTTCATTACACTGCATTGATTTGTTAGACGATTAATTCATGCATTAAAAATTGCATGAACCTTTAACTCCTAGAAGTGATGAACATAAAACTTCTCCCAACAATATCCATACATTCTTCAGCAAACAGGTAATGAGAATATTCAAACTTATCAGGTAGAAGCTGCCATCTTGATCCAACACCAAGTTCTCATAACTAATTTACAAGGAAATGTGTAGCAGCTACAGGGGAGAATTAACAATCAGATCTTGGGAGTTAAAGGATTGTATGCGTTATCCCCTCAAAATATCTACACTTCACATCACCTGACATTTCGTTGTTCCTTACATAAAAGTAGTCTTTCGATGCCAGGTGGCTAAGCTGTATGTCCAAGGAAAGTTATCTGGAATCATAGGTCTTGCTGCATCACTTATTAAAGACCTTTTCCAAGTTATGCATCCGTCTTTAGCTCCTCACCTGCACAGCGATTGTTTACAAATTATAGAAGAGCTGCATCGTTGTCACGAAGAGGTACGTCCTCCTTTTCCCTTGAAAACTTAAAATGAATTACGTAACAGGCATACATATTGTTGATATTTTTTTGTGTGTAAAATCAAAAATATATATTTCATTTACTCCTATATATTTATCTCTATTTTGCAGCATCCCTTTCGAAAGTTCGTCGGAATGTGTAACGATATTAAACGGACTCTTAATGCGTGCTTGAAAGAAGAGGTGAGGTTACACTGGTAATTTTGTACAAACGTGCAATGTTTTGTGTTTCTGTTTTATACTTCCTTCAGATTTTTGCGAGTTCTCTTGGCTGCCATGCCCACAAACTTAAGTGATAAGTTTTCTGTCCAGGAATAAATTGAACTTCAGTAATGTGTATTTTTGTGTGGTACAGACTATGAGATTAGTTTAATCAGTGTCGTAGTTACCATGGCTAGACTACAGATTACAAGCCCACTTTTAACTATCTACTAAACGAGTCAATTCGTTTGGCTTGTTTGCTTCTTTGTTAACAGAAAAAGGCACACTGTTTATTCATCGTCCTTTCATTCACTGCCCAGCCAAACAAGCCACTACATATAGAGATCTTAGACACAATGTGCACATAAATCATTCCTCATTCTTTCATCCACTGCCAAACAAGCCACACAAATCAAACAAGCCACTACATATATAGACCTTAGACAGGTTTGAGCCAGGCCGCACCATTGCGCCAATCCCACACTGCAATTGAAATTGTCCCTTAAAAAAATGGTCAAGACAATTTGTCCCCTTCAAAATTTAGGGGAAAAACTCGAAAGGAAGCACACACGAAGAGTTTTATCTCGGTACAGAAATTGCAAGCTAAAACAGAATGTGGAAAGTATATTTTCTTGCACGTTTAAAGTTCATTCTAAAGTCACGTTTCTGTCACACTTTACTGAACACGTACGTCTCATGCTCAACCAAGCGTGGTGAACGCACATGGCAATCTTTACTAAGCTTTTCACAAACATGCGAACTCAAAAGTTCAAAAGCTGCCTTCACAATTACGTTTTTCACTGCCCTCAATCATAATTACGATCACAAGCAACGAACCT